TGGGGTACGGAATGAAGGGAGAAAAAAAGTGACTATGTTCATCGTAAATTGCAGAGTCGTTTAAATTTAATATTTTACCTATTTGTGCCGGAAGATTTCAAAAAAGATATTTGTCACTGAACTGTAAAATCTATATTTTGTTACCCTCGCCATATAGACTGAAGGACTGGATGAAAAGCTCTTCCCAGAACTTCTCGTTTGAATTCCTCCAGAGGGGAATTCTGCGGCTAAGGTTTCCTCATCATTCTCCAGGCCCTACAGCGACACAGCAGAGTTTTCTCAGACAGTGACAAATGAGTCCGAGGAACTAGCAAGAACTCAAGAAAAGATAACAGACGTGAAAAAGAGACCAGGAATAAAACTAGATGTGGTAGGAAACGGATGAAATGGAGTCAAAGAAAAATATGGAAAATGATTCTACAACGACATCGAATAAATTACTGCTCGGTCAGTAGAGCTAGTTCAAGTTAAAGAAGGACGTTTAGCTTTAACATGGAACTCAAAGTAGCTAAAAAAACTGAGTTTTCATTACAGACTTTGAGAAGTTGGCATTAAGAAATAGAAGAAAAAAGTTACCCTTAAGTTTTGTGAACTGGTACGAAGTTTGGTAATGATTCTTCTCAACCTTATAGCAGGAAGGAAATTAACTGGCATATATAAGAATCCATAGATTTAACCGGTGTTTGGGGTTTGTAGTACGATTAACTCGTCGTGGGGATAGGCTGAAGGAATTATTTTGTCGAATACATACAAATAAATAGAACTCTATCCGTCACATTTCATCACACAAAAAATCCGATTCTCTTATTAATATCAGGATGCTATGTAACTGATCTCATGTAGCAGAGTTAAGTAAATTTCTGGAACCCAAAATTTATCACCGCGTTGGAAATATCCCATAACTTGACATTGTTCTGACTCAGTTGGAGTAAAGTCACAGGTTTACATTTTTGTTCATTACATAATATCGCCCCGAACATCCTCCAAATCCCATGACCTCTACGGTCATATGTTAGTCTACAGCTAGAGTCACAAGATGTAGAGTCGCTCGTTTTTTTTTCTGTTCTCCGCGACTGTCATTTAATATTATCTTATGCTCGTCATATTTTCAGAAATTCTATGCAGTATCTTCAACACTGTAAACATTTTAACAAACAATGTTGTGACATGATGAATAAGGTAGATTGTAGGACACTTAGCATACAAAGTAGATCGAGAGTTACTGTTTAATTATTTCTGTACGATATAATTAAGAGTCGATAATTTTATTTTATCAAAACATGCCTTCAACCCTTTGAAGCCGAAACTCGCTTAAATAATATTTTAATATTTCGTCCGTACCTCAAAGAAAACACTACACTTCACCAATATAAATGTGCTTGTTAACGCTGTTTAAGGAAATAAGTGCTGCTATTGGGTGACATTTCAGGATTTCACGGTGGTGAGTCTGAAGATGGCTGTGTTCTGGATTATTGTTCCGTGTAGTCTGGTAGAAGTTTACCCACGGGTCTTGATAATGGAGGCAGCAAGAACCTTTTAAGCGTCACTGAACTGTACCAAACTACAAAGCGCAAAACCCATTAATTGTTAAAGTAGGTGGGACATATACTTACCACTGGGCTTTAAATGGTTGAAAGACAAATAATCATCTCCATCGATACAAGACTGTTAATTTTAAGTCCTTTGTTCCTATTTCTTCGAACATTCTAGCTGGCTTCGTGATACAATCTAAAAGTAGTGCGTGCTGATCGGCTCAGTGAGAGGAAGGGTGTTAAATGTATGTCGGAATATTAATACACTGCCTGAATTACCGTTATAACTTTATTATTAAACTTTCATCCTAAAATATAGGCCTGTGCTGACGGGAATTCATTTTTGTTTGTTACAAAAATTAATGTTTTTATTAAAACATAATTATCTTCTTATCAGTTTGAAAGAGTACTGATTCATTCACATAATTTTCATAACGTTTGCAGTTTCTTACGCACCCCAGAAAAACGTTAAATGTACACATATGTCGATAAAATCTAAAACATACGTAGTAAAACAATGCATAGTCTTTAAAAATAGATGTGATTAATTTAAATTGATCAAAAAAATCATGTAGCTTACAAATTCATTTAATTTAGAGACTGTTTGGTATATAGATTTTAAACAAAAGATTTTGAGTGTTACTGCGTTATTTATCTTAAATTCAAACCTCTCATTTTACACTCCGTATAATATACATGGAGTAAAAATGTGAAATCGCCCGTTAGTCTAGTGTGTTATGCAAAGTACTGGTAGTTTTAATTTTAATTGCCCTCGTAATACAAGTGTCAATCGCACGAAAGTAGAGAACGTTGAAAAGTAAATCTACATTATTGTTCGTGTTTTCATTCATCTATTTCTGTGGATGAAATGACAAGGCTGACAGAAATCGAATAAATGATAAGACATTCCGACATTGATAAAGAATTGGCCATCTGGAATGTAACGCCAAGTGGGCTTGTACTGGATACCACCAAGGCTAAAGATGGAGGCAGCATATTGCTCGCAAATGTTGGTGCTACCTAAACGTCCACACAGCGTTACAATACAGGAAACCTAAAGTAACATCTTCAAAATTCTATTAACCTCAAATATCATAAGTGTATAAAGCATATGAGTTTTACAGGCCCTTAGTTGAACATGTCTGGCGTACTTAAATTTTAAGGTTTCTTTTTTTTATTCTATATTCGATCTAATATTGTCAGCATTTTCACAAGAAAGAAGCTTAGAGCTTTGAACCTATAAAAAAGAGCAAACTATTCAGAAAAAAGTCCTAGTCAAGGAGTCACGTACCGGGCTTCTATATTGCACTGCTGGACTGGCATTTCAAACATCTGAGTACGCTCATAAAATAGACCTAAGGATAAACCTTCCCCGTGCAATATAGGGCACTAAAGGTGTAGACAAAATGTTGAATGAGACGAGAAAAGCTTTTACTTGTGTGAAGGGGAAATTTTCGATGTTCACTTCGGACCTATGACGATGTCGTCACAGTGATAAATAAAAATGTCATCCTTACACTACAATTACAGATACGCAAACAATTTGTTGTTTCTTGACGTAAGGTACCTCAAAATAAAGGATAGAATAATAGTCGGTTCTCATCTCATATCTTGTGCTCAACTAATCGTAAATTAAAATGACAGTCTTTTTCTTCAGAACTGATGCACCGTGAAGGACACCGATCGATCTCAGATGGAGGTAAACGTTAACCAGGCTGCACGGCTCAGTACCCCAGAAGACAGCCATCTTCATACTCGACGTCCTGTGAACCTAAAAACTCACAAATTTTACATTAAGATTGTAGGAATATGTAACAGAGATATTTTAGCAACAGCAACTTTAGTAATACGGATTGTAAAATGGACTTTTGCATTTGATTAATTAAAACTCGAAAACTTAGTATCACACAGTGAAATAGATACAGAAGTGCGTCACCTAAGGAATGTGTGCAAGAAACTTCTGAATCTAACTGACTTTAAATCACCCTGTATATTGAAAAGTTCCAAAGAAATTTACTACATGTGCAAAGAATACCACCAATGACGAGGAAGAAAATTAAACCATTTTCCGCACAGTAATTGATAATGATAAGGTAAATATTATATAAAATCATGTTCAGAAGATGTTAGAAAAACAAAGAAACTTATTCAAATAATAAGCTAATTCAGTTTTTAAATTTGTGTAATCAGATTAAGTCACCGCTTTCATTCGTATATCCGTATCGTGCGCTGTAAAACATATGTGCCACTTAAAAAGTGTAATAGAATTAGAACATTAGAACATTAATGTAATATTTTAAAAGCGAGTCCTTTGTTAAAAAAACAGCTTGTGTGACGTATCATATTAAGGATCGAGCGTTCGGTATGCAATTTCATTTGTTACCCAACAACAATTCTGTTTATAGCAGCGTCACTTATCAAACATAATATTCCCTCTACTTTGCTTGGTGAGGCTGAGCCCTCGCAAGATGAGACTGTAACAAGTTCTCGTGAATATCAGGTGGTTATCACAAATGTGTTATTCTGACGACGGCCGCGTGTCTTTGCCTGTTATTTATGAAACGAGCTGTATAATTCCAAATGTCATTTTCCTTGAATAATGGTTGTTGAACGCCACGGGTGTCTAGCGGTTAGAACGCTGGCCTTGTAATCCTGGGGTCTCGGGTTCGATTCCCGGCGGTGCCCGAATTTATAACTTGTGTTGGGCAAGGCCGTGGTCTAGGCAACACGGAGTTTTCCTCCGGGGGCTTCCCCGGTTTCTCCGTGGCATCCCAACAATTACTCCATTCACACACAGAAGAAGGCAATGGCAAACCACTTCTGGATCATCTGCCAAGAACGTATATGAGCAGGTCCCAGTCCGAGAAAAGGATGGAAGGATCCTGTTCATATGGACCTGTCGTCAGACAGAACACTAAATAAATGTAAATGATCATGTTGATGTGCTTAGAATCATGTGACGTAGAAGAGAACAATTCAGGTATCTGCGAGTTTTTATTCCTTATGTCTCTCTTGAACATTCTTCTTAAAGATAATTTATCTGATAATCCGGATATATACTTAAATGTTTTTCCCTACGTCTAAAGGCGAGTAAATGATCACCAAACAACCAAGCTACCAACTAACATTGCTTATAATATATATAAATACTTTAGCTTCTGAAGTTCCGTGACGTAGAATGAAATATGGCAGTAGGTGGTTTATAGAAGATATATCGCGAGCTATATATAAAATTATTCTACGTATATTCTATATTTCGTAATCTGCTAGACACAATGAGAGAGAAACAAATACATGAACGAAAGAAATAAAGCAATCAGATGACAGATACTAAGCCTGGAGCCGAACTCGGTCCCTTGAGAATAAGATTGAGACTCGTTTCGCTGACTCATCGTGTAATTTAAGATTTCATTTACTTTAATCACCTTCCATGTTCGATAAAATTAATAAATTCTTTCTTGCTTTCAGTTGCACGTTAAATTAGAGGTCAAAGGATGACAAAACTGGAGATGGTATGTATTTACTTTGAAACATTCTTATACGTTGATTCTATAATGCAGGTAGCATTATATGGTGTTATTTGCTTAGAACCATGAGTAGGGTTGAATTATTCATGTTTCAAGCGTTTACTCGCCGTATGCCCAATGTTTGGATCTGTTCATGGTTAACCTACTTTCGCCACTGTCTAGCTGTAATTCTGCAAGGTATTTTAATATACGTTTTGAGAAGGAAAAATGAAACAAGCTTACAGTGCATGCGTTGTTGAAACACCAAGACCACAGATAAAGTAACAACTTGAAAGCGTCCGGCATTCGGCTTAACCATGAGAAACTATAGCATTTCATGGGTTTCCGTAGCCGTTTTGGCGAGTCTTTGGCAAAATTTGATGCACACGCCATTCCGAAATCGCAGGAGGGTCGGTGTAATGCACTACCAAAACGCCCGTAACTAAGAAACAAATGCTAATTAGATGATGCCGGCTGGCACACTGATTCACTATGAATGTAGGCCGAACCCTTTAAAGGCAGAAGCTCGTACCACATCTGGTTCGCCCTCTATTGACACAGTCTGGAAACTTTCTGATCGCACCTCGTATGTAGTTTGAATAGCATTTTCCATACTGCTGCAGTTATCAAGGGTAAACAAAGAACAAATAATCGGTTTGGTCCCTGGTTTGGTAGTCTTAAACCTGGACAACAATATTAAAATGTTAAGTATAATGCCTGTCCACGACAGTTATCTGCTACCAGTAATCCATTCGTGGTAAATAAATCTACACCCTCAAGTCGTCAGCTGTTTCTTAAAGACGATACGGAACAGGTAAAAGAGGGAACCAGTATATGCATCTAGAATCCGCTACGTCTTTATAAAATCAGTTGGTGCTAATTTCCTTTACAAGAGAACATTTTCCCCCACACAGTACATGAATTGAATCAGTCAAATTAGCTTGGAAATCTCCCTCATTTGGACCCCACTTAATTCTTGAGGATGTCTGTTGGCTGCAGGGAAATTCAGATAGCTTCTTGGATTTTCTACTAAAGTTCATTCTCTGGATTGGAACCGGTCTTCTCGAACTTTATCGATTTTTTTTTATCGTCTCTCCTTCGATGTCGTATCCGTCTTCTTTTGCCGTTACTTTCATTGATTTTGTTGGAAAACTTTTCATTATCCTCGAGTCTTTATGACTGCATCACACACGCCATACACATCGCTTCTTTTTACTTCTCGCAGATGGAATTAAATACAGCAAGCATTTCCGTTAATAAATCCGCTGTTAATTCTTTCGTATTTGTACATTTATTTGTTAATATCTTCTCAAATTATTTAATTCTAACTTATTTTATGGATTCATTACGTCCATGTGTGTTTTAAATCCTAAACGTGATAGACTCCATTCCATAATTTTAAATGTTTCTAAACACTTTCTCGAATGAGAAAGACGATCCAGCGACAAATGAGGAGGTCATATTCTATGGAAGTGTCAATAGAAAGACTTTTAAGGAATGGTGAAATCTTAATGTTGAAAGTAGAGACAAGTGGAGGCCATAAAGTAGTGACTCTCATAAAACTCTGTACTAAATTGTAAATGCTGGACAGACTCCTTAAACCCCCCCCCCCCCCCCAATGTTCAGGTTATAGCGACGGATACCAGCGACCCATATTCAGTGCCTCTGAACAAGACAGGCCTAATGTGTCAGAAACAAGGGAGTTTCTGAGCTAATGCTAATCCAAGGGAGTAGAAACAAAAGAAGTGCATAGACCTGCTTCATGTTAATTGGAATTCTTAAGTGAAATGTTGTAACAAAGGTTTCTAAATTTAACTTAACTCGAAGAATAATTAATAACCTTTTATCGGATGCATGTCTTTGTCTGAAAGTATTATCCATAATTTTTTTTAAATCTTTTAATGTTTATAAAATTTTGAATTTGAACTCCAAATGAACAGTTTTGTGATAAAGTATGGATTTTGACATTTTAGCCACTTAGAATATCATTTCTGGGAACAATTTGATATTAGTGACCTACATCAGGATTTTCGGTGTTCCTAGCCATGCATTCCTGATCTAGTACTGATGTTGCATTATATAGCTGTAGGATAACAAAGTATACGTAAGCCCTAATTTACGCATAGTTCGAACTAAACTTCCACCTTGTAAAAGCAGAAATGTTCTTTGAACATAAACTTGGTACGCAATTTAGTGTGTATGTTTATGCGTGTAAAGTATAAATTATTCCATGGTACAGCGTTCTTCTTGAGTAGCTAACATTTTCTCAGCTGCTTAGGAATTTTCCTTCCCTTTTATGGGACCAGAACATTTATTCTCGTGTTCAGAGGAACCAGTTAGTGGGCCCTAAATTGGACTCTCTGAATTCAGTCTACACTTTCATAATTTAAGATCCATTATAATATTATGCCCTCGTTATAGCGTAAGTGTTCCAAGTGATTTCTTCCCTACAAATATCCCGACTAAAATTTTATGCGCATTTCTCATCTCTACATGGCACACGTGTCTCGGCCATTTAATAATTCTTGATTAGATCTCAAAGCATATTAAGCACACTTTTCGTAAAAATTCCTTCACCTTATAACTCCACGTTTGTGTGGCAAAATATATTAATCATTTCGGACGCATTGATATATTGGTTGCATTTTATGTACTTAATCATGTATTCCATCCGATTCTGATTGACGTTTCATTACAGGCCGCAAACATGGCGGAAATTTCGTATCGCGTGTACTGTCAAATTGTTTGAGATGAACGTGGCATATCTCTTTCCGGGTGACAATTATTAGCTTGGGTGACAAGTTCCGCTAAATGTGATCAGTGATTCGGAAACAGGTGTTCGGGGTTCAAAACCCTTTAACGAATGACACTTCGCCTTCCTGTTTATAAATCATGTCGTGGGAAACTGTTTGGTGTAATTGCTGAAATAAACACCGCAGTCAATTTATGCCAGATTTGAGTACATATATTTTCCAAACTCATCTGTCACGTTACTGTATAGCTCACAGATATTAATATTCGTTTCTTTGCAGAGAAAAATAATTGTTCTGAAGCCAGTCTTTCCGTGTTGTGTTTCTTCAAGAATGAGTCGTGACAAAACGTGCTTGAAATTAAGATTAGCCCCATAGATTGCAATGCCTTCTGTGTCTTAAGCCCGCGTCTATCTCCTCGTTTTCATCCTCTTGAAAGTTAAGTGATGTATTGGGAAATAAAATTAAAGTTGTCCCCGTTACTTACTTACGCACAATGCAATAGGATATTGGAGCGTGGAGATATATCTCAACCTTACCACTAGATGCAGAAGAGTGGCTAGCTTCACACCCCGGTCGCTACACCCCCGAGGAAGGAACAAGCGGTGTGCATCGGATTGAAGGCTGTGTGGATGTTGTGACAAAGAGAAAAATCCTATCCTACCAAGAATCGAACCTTGGTCGTTATTCTGATTGAGCTTGTTCGCTTCCTTTGTTAGACACACACGAAAGAAAATTGATTTCGTCTTACAGATTTTCTTCTGAACTACAAATAGCAACTTTAATATGTATCAGTTCAGTTGTTTCGTAAACTATAGGAAAATAAAACACTCCCTATTAAGCGTTCATTTATACGCTTATTGTGAAGATCGCATACAAAGCATGTTTGTGTGCTACCTTGTTATTACCTAAGTTAATAACAAGGTTGTGAAGATTACAACTTTTAGTTTCCTGTAATATCGCCACAATCTGCTCACTGCAAGAAAGAGGCCTATGGTAATTTTACTAACCGGCAGACACGTATATTATTATGGAGCAACCAAAGATTCAGCACCGAAACAACACAAACCCGCTTTCGTACTTCGTGTTAATTAAATCCACACAGCCTCAACTTACTTCATATTTCATCTCAGTGTTCGGGGTTACTAGTTTCCTCATGTGTGTCTCATACAGAATGCCCCTTATTGAATTACCTGAACCGTGTTATGTTAAGAGAATAGATCACAAACTTCTAGAGTCATTCAAAATTTCCTTATCTCTACGTATCGTATATATTCTTTTCAAACTTGCCGTGTATATTTGTTTCTTCTTTGTAACAGACCAATTTTCTGAAATACGAACAAACATTTATTTCAATTTATTATGGTGCGTATCTAGTGTAGTGTGGTAGAAATGTGTCGACGATTCAGTCTCCATGGTCAGGGTTATTGTTATTGCCTTGAGATTTGAACCATGTTTAATCGAAAATAGATTGAAAGGCGTCGAGTCAGAAGTCTTAATTTCGGTTCACGTTCCTAATACATTTCGACGTACATGAGCAAATAATTAGTCACTTCTCTGGAATTTTGAGATTATCACCGCTGATACAAAAAGTCCCGCTGTTTAGTTATATCCTATGCATACGACTTTTAATCAGAAATTGAATTAAATAATATAATAATAAGAAGTGTTTTAGATCCATATTTGTCTCGTTTCTCCCTTTACAAGTTCTTTTCCATCCGAATTGTATAGATTATATTATTTTTTTTAATTTGCTATGGCGTCTCTTCTTTAATTAGCCGCTGTGTTATCACTTGGTGAAAAGCTTAAACCAGGAGACTCATCATATAATATTCTTCATTTCGTACAGAGTTCACCCATCTATGCTCTGAATATTGTGATTATAACTTTGTTTTAAATATATTTCCATCACGTTACAAGGCCTACCGCGATGTTAATTTTCCAGGCCGTTGGCTAAGGGAGGTGCTGAGTACATTAAATCCTCCGCAGACGTTGGCCAATTAATTTCTTTAGACCTTAAGGTGTGAGATAAACTGCAGAATGTGGCGTACGGTATGCAACCTGCTTCACATAAAACACTGAAGCATGCAATTGAAATGTCCTTGGAATTTATCCCATTAGATCTGTGATTGAGTAATGTAATGACCACTGACTTTTACATATCAAACATCACCTTTACCTGGATTATGTAATTGTTAATATTTTTTACTTCTGTGCGTGTAAGAGCCGGGATAGCTCAGTCAGTATAGTGACTAG